TAAAAATCGCGCTCCGCTTCAACCACGTGGTTTGCAGCTAGATGTGAGTATAAGAGCTCATTTAGTGCCGAACAAATGCTCGTGACAGAGAAGTCATTCGGAAATGGGGGTGGATTTCGCGTTAGCCACGTTCACGATGTCAAGGATCATCGCACGCCCTGGCATCCATAAACTAACTGCGTGAGTACTGTGTAACATCATTTTCCAATGCGACCATATGAATGAACTTTCGCTACGGCAAAAACTATAAGCTGTTCGAGAGCGCAGCCTGCTACAAATAACGGCTAAGTACCGCAAATGGAAGGAATCCTTCGATACATAAGCAAAGAATGTGACCAGTGACAGCAAAAGTAAGCTTTTACAGTTCTGAAACAACATGATGCAAGCATATTTAATACATTTCTATCCAAACAGTAGCCAACAACAACTCAGCCAAAATTTGGCGCTATTAATTGCTAGCCTACAACTGCTGCTTGTGAAACATCAAGACAATTTACGCAACTCATCGTATCACGATTGAGTGCGATACAAATAATGGCCGATGAAGCGGCCGTTAAGAGGAGAGATTGAGAGCGTACTCTTCTACTCTTATGAAACTGTGAGAAAGAATTAGCAAACTTTCAGGAGTCCAATAAGCTTTAATACTTATAAGGCTCATGAGGCATTCAGAAGTTCTTGGCTAGTTTGATTTATAGAGCCACCGTAGCCCAACTTCTTTCAGTGGCATGAAGATGACGAAAAATTACGTACAAGATCTACAAAGTCAAAGCAGAAATAAAATATTTTTTCTCGATTCAAAATTTTCTCACACAGTTTTGGTAGGATGGACAAAAATTTTCCTGTGCTATTTTATTATATTGTCCTGGAATGATTTTAAAAGAATATTCTATGAAAAAAAGCATTTCAGTGATTACCAAAACTATTGTAGATTGGTTAGGTTACGAGAGGGATCTATATCCGCTACGTATGTAATGCCTTGACAAACTTGACTAAAAACGATGAATGAATAAACGGATGTAACGAGAAATTTGAAGAATTTCTGAGATATGACAATCTAGTAGAAAATTTCTTGTTACCTTTGAGCTTTTTTAAATAGAAAAACTTTACGTGATATACTAGAAAGGAGAACAGAGCAGGTATTCAACAGAAGTCTTAGTTGAACCTCGCCTCTGTCTTGAATCTTAGCAACTCGCACATGTGCTTATTTTCAATATTAGCTACTTTGAAGCAGCGAATGCATTTTTGGGAAAAGCAAAGTGGAGAGAAGGATTTCTCAAAAGGCTAATGCTCAAAAAAAGATAGGAG